CATGTGTGAAGAACATCCTGAATCCAAGTACCATTGGTCCTTAAATTTCTCTTCATTTCTTGTTGTGACCATAAACATCATCTCTTCTTCTTCATACTTTGCGAACTTTGCATCACTTTCTTGATTCTTTCGTTTTTCTGGATAATCTCTAGAATAATGACCATACTTCTGACAATCGTAACACTGAATGTGACTCTTGTCATGTTTCGACCACCACCTCTTCATCTGCCTCCAACACCACCTCTTTGGTTGCCTTGGTATGGGGTCTTCTCTGATTTGACACAATTCCTTCCTGCTGGTTTCCTCTACCAGTTCAATTGTTGTAGCCACCTCTACCTTTGTTGAACCGCTTCTTTTGCATTTACTTTATTTTGCTGAATGTTCTTGCAAAATGTCATATCCCGAATTTGCTCTACTAGTTCCTACTATTTTTATTCCTAAAAATCATTTTTTGCTTTGTATATTATTCAAAATCAAGGGGTTTGAGTTTATAAAAAGGGGTTTTTTAATCTTATTAAGAACTAATGGGCCTTTCTAAATCAGAAAAGACCCATGTAAATTGTTAAAGCCCATTCGGTTTCTCTTGCAAGGGGTGTATTTGTTAAGGTATAGTAGCCCATTTAAAATTCTATAGAAGGGGGTATATTTTTTGGGAAAGGCCCAAACAATTAAGAAATTTTAGCCCATTTAATTTTGGTTAAAGTTTTTGTCTTCAGCCCATTTTGAAGGAAAGCTTTTTTTTAGAACTCTTGGACCTTTCAAAATCAGAAAGATCCATACAAAGTTATTGGCCCATTTAGAGTGCTATATAAGGGGAGGTGCGCTGATTATAAGGGGGTTTTGTTAATTGGACCAACCCACTAAGGTGATAAGGCATGTTTTAAGGGGTGTATGATTCAATCAAGGAGGCCTATAAGCAATTCATCTTTTTTTGAAGGCCCAATAATTAAGCGGTGTGGCCCATGTTAGTTTTTTGTTTTGAGAAGTTGTTTCTGTTTTACATGATTATTGCTAGAATTATTATTATTATTATTAAAGTTTAAGTATTTAATTAAAATTCATTTTTTGTTTTATTATCTGAAAAAACATTAACTGAAATTAAAGCTTTCAATCGCACAACCCAAGCCCAATCCAAAAAAACTTACAGTCAAAATCAGGAAAGAAAAAAATGCGTTGTTTCAAAGAAAACGCTTACTGTACGAATTGATGAAAAAGTAACGCGAGTTTTAAAGAAATAAACAAGTACTCTAAAAATTAAAGTAGAAAACGATCTTTTATTTTGAAACGTCCGGATTTACAGAATCATACATTACAGTCCATAATCAAAAACTAAATCAAATCTTAACTAATTTAGAAACAAAATCAAATCGAATATTGAAAAGGAGTTGACTTTATTGATTTATATGAATATAATACATAGAATCATCCAAATACAAAGTCAATGACACAAGCCCTAGGTTCTAATTCTAAATCTAAACCTAATTAGATCTTCAATCTTTACAACTAATTGATTCAATCAAAATTATAACAGCAATCACAAAAAAACTTTTCTAAAATCATCTAAGTCTAACACTATAAAAACCTAAGATCAAAAAAGAACTAGGGAGAAAATTTTTGACAAAAAAGAAGAAAAGAGAGAGCCTGTTTCCATCATCGCCGCTGCAAATCCGTGTTCATCGCCGCTCCAGCTTAGGGTTTCAACATCTGAAACTCTATCTCTCCTTGAACTGCCGACGTTATCATCATCTTCAAGCGCCTCTCGCTACCTGCGAAGAAAAGAGAAGAAAGAGATTAGAAATGCCAGTCGGAGAAATCAAAAGGAAGCTACAAGATTCACGGCACAGATGGTAACCCTTGAAACACTTAGCTTTTTTACTGCGGCTCTCTGTATTTTATTGTCGAGTTAGGGTTTGTTGGTTTGATTCAAGGGTTTAGGGGGTTAAGGCTCGTCGTCGCCGCTGGGGTTCGGTGGCTAGGGTTTGGGAATTGTTTGTTTGGGTGAGAGAAGAGGGATAAGAGACGGGACAGAGAGAGATAAAACATGAAATGATGAAATGTGTATAAACAAAATATATTATGTTGTATGATCTAGTGTGCGTTAGTCCACCGCCATTACCCTGCACTCTCAACCACAACCATGTGATCCCTATCAAACGCTCAGAAACACGCGCCTATGGGCTTACCATGCTCTCGTCTGCATGGAGTCCAAACAGACTTAACACACTTTGGGCTTGGCCCGTTACTAATCACACCCCCTCTGTTTTTGCTTTTACTAACCAGATGCAAATTCATACCCCCCATCCTTGTGGGCCAAGTCCAATATCTGGACCTAGACCCCTACTCCATACACCCCCAATTTTTACTAAGTAATACAAACCTATACCCCCATGCGTTAGGCCTGAATTCAATATCTGAATTCAGGGCATTGCTACACATATCCCATATTTTGCTAGCCCACCATTATTTGCACCCCCTGCGCTTTTTTAATCATTTTATTTTTATTATTTTATTTATAATTATTTTTATATTTTAATATTTATAAATTCTATTATTATCATTAAATCAAATATTATTTTTCTAAAATCATCCAAATATTTATTTATTTTATTGTATTAAATTTTTTTTATCATGCATTAATAGGATATTTTTACAATTAATACATTAAAAAAATTTAACCAATAATAAATTCTTTTTCATAATTAAATTAAATTCCACAATCAATTTTCAAAAAGGGTTACAAATGTATTTAAATCGACTGCGCGCTTCGTCTAACAAACTCCGCTATTCACACACATAGACTAAGTACACGGAAAATTCAAATATCTTCGTAATATATAAAAAACACCAACCAACCGCGGAGTACGAATTGAGACTCTGATTCCTCATAAGAGAATATGTAGGCATACGACTACAATCGTGGCGAGTTCCCCTAATAAAAAACTAAAATCCTATTTCTTAAAGATCGCGCTTCTAACCCTAGTATCCTTGTGAACAAGGTAGATGATGGGTGCCTAACACCTTCCCTTCGTCTAGAACGAGTCAAAAAACCTAGAATCTCTAACCTTTTTTAGGGTTAACCTTTATGTTCCCTTCCTTATGATAACAATTAAGGGTGGCGACTCTTATTTTAAAACCGGTTACAACACAAGGCCACATCACTCTTCGACTTGCCTGAGCTTCAAGTGTCACTTGAAGTTCATCCTTTGTTAATTTCGACAAATCTTTCCCCTATTCTATAGTTACCACCACGTGGTCGAACTTAGGGGCCAAAGATCTCAAGATCGTTGCAACAACTACTCTGGTTGTTAACATTTCTCGACATACCTTAATTTGATTCACCAGTTTTGTAATCCTAGTGAAGAAATCAGATATGCTATCGCTATCTTTCATCTGAAGCAATTCATACATTCTTTTGTGAGTTTGTAACCTTACAATTTTCACCTTTTCTGTACCTTTAAAAGATTTCTCAAGAATCTCTCAGACTTCTTTTGCAGATTCTACATCACTAACCTTTTCAAAATTTTCTGGACTAACACATTGGTGAATTATAAAGAGAGATTTATAATTCTTCTTCTTCAATTCTTTGTGTTCAATCTCTTCATCATCTGAAGGATCTTCATCAAGCGGTTCTAACCCATCTTTTACAAGATTCCAAATACTTTGATAACATAATATAACCTTCATCTATTTGCACAAATTCTCATAGTTATCAACTTTCAGAATTGGAAGACTTACTGAAAAATTCCCATTGTGATTTTCGTCTTCTTCCCTTGATCGCTCAATTGAGGCTCTTGATACCGGATGTTAGAAATCCACCAAAACCTATGGAGAATTTCTATCAATCTTGATGAACAAGATTGTTATCACGACACAATAACGATGAAAAGAAAAGAAAATTAAAGAAAAAAGATATTAGGGTTTCTACAGAGTTTCTCTCTCCCACAAACTGTGGAAAATCTTTATTCACTTGCAACTGTAAATTCTGTGAATAAAAATTCTGAGTTGATTATAAAAAAGAGGTTACTCCTTCTATTCATAATTGGGCTAGCTTGCTTCCTAAGTCAAAAAGCCCAAATCTATAATAGCTCAAAATACCTATTTTATACCTAAGTCGAAATCTTGTGTGAAGCATCCTGCTTCGACACTTCGACACATACAACTCGACACACGACTAATTTCGATACAACCTTCCTTCTATCAAGCAACCTGCTTTGACACAAAGAATTTATTACACTTTCAACAAGTGAATACTAACTGGTAACCATTAGATCTTTAACTCACGTTTGACTTTTATTTTAAATATATCTAAAGTAATGATTATAAATAGTTGTAATGGATTGATTGTGTAAAATTATTTACACCGACTGTGTATAACAATTAATCTGTTAAAAAAAGGAGTAAATATTTAGGCAATTTCTTATTCCACCCCATACTCAAAAGAAATACCCTATGCAATTTCTAAAATATCCGAAAGTATATTTCTAGAGCACACATTTTTTTATTGAACTTACGTAGAAATTGAAAATGCATTTTTGAAATTCTCAACTTTTGTTATTATATTACCTTACCAAACAAATTGTCCGATAAGCTTTTTAACAGAAACCAAAAATGTATTTTCGAAAATACTCAGAAATACATTTCTGAAATAAATTTTATTATAAATTAGAAAAAATCTCAAAAACCAAAAATACATTTTTGATTTTTAAAAACATTTTTAAAATTTTGCATAATGCTTGAAAAGTATGAAGAAGAATAAGAAATCCTCAATATTTATTAATTTAGTGACAAAACCAATTTATGCATTTTCTTTGTACAATACCCATTTATGTCTTTTGGTTACTTCATTCTGGGCTACGACCACCCACATCAGTAGTCACACTTCGGTTTCACCACTCCTAGTTTTTCTCACTCACACTGTTCCTTAAATCATGCTCCAAAAACCATGACGAAAAACAAACCTTGAAAAAACCCTCTTTTCTCTCCCTCTTCAACCTCAATCAATGGCTTCTTCCCCTCGTATTCGTAGCTATTCCAAGTCCCAAATGTACCTTTTTAAAATCCTCCACATCATTTCATCCATTCCACCCTCTATTCCTCAACAACCCTCTCCCAACAACAACAAAAGCGTTGGTATAGGTATCGATTTGAATCTCACTTTCTCTTCCATCACAGACACCGAAGAATCTGAATCGTCCAACAACAACAACGACAACAACAGCGAGAGACAAAAAGAAGCGAAAGTTGTTGATGTGGATGTTGATGTTGATGTTGGTGACGTGGCATCGGAGTTGGAAAACGAAGTTGACACAAAAACGTCGTCGTTTCGCGGCGATGGTAATAACTGTATAGATTTACTCATCGAAGCGGCGAGAGTTTTGTCCGAAAAGAACGAGTCTGACTCGGAGGAGGAGGAGGAGAAGCGAATCGAAACCGAGTTACCGAGTCACGAAGGAAGAGTTGAAGAAAAGAAAGAAAGATGGGTTGTTGTGGATTTGTACGAGACTGAACCGGTGGTTCGGTCTAAGAGAGGGAGGAACCAAACGTTGCCGTTCCGGTTCAGAGACTCGGTGGTTGAACCGTTGAAACGAAAGGGTCGGAGCCAGAGAGTATCGTCAACTACTAACGCAAAGAAACGACTTCTCCGTTGACACTAAGACATCAAATGCAGGGAAATTTTTTTTTGGTGTTTTTATTTTAGCAAATAAAGTTTGCTAATTTTATGTAATATTGTAATGTGTTTTTATATAAATGTTATTATTTGTATTAATTAATTTAGGTGAAGCAATTGAATTCAGAGTTGGCACGTAGAAAAATACCTAGGCAGGTGTATGTTTTACAGGTTACTGAGTCTGCTATAACTGTTTTGGTTATGAAAAGTCTGGGTCCTATGGATAGGCATTGAATACTCTATGATATGCATGTGATGAAAAATAGTGTTATGTTATCCTGAACAAATTTTGAAATTCTAAACTCCAGTTTTGGAAATTTTTTAGAGGAACTTATTTAATGGCTAGTAGAATAATACTTTTGAATGTGAGAAATTAAATTGTAGTTATTGACTGAATTGTATTAAGAGGATCCTATTTATAACTAATGGAATGATTACACTCAAAATAAATTAACTCTGATTGTTAATGTTTGGTATTTTTTTTAGGTTTTAATATTAATTATATATAAAAATTACGATACTGAAAACAGAAATAAAAAAAAAACATATTGGAAGTCAGTTATTTGCAATACACTTAAATTAAAATATAAATTAGTTAGGCTATTTTGCAAGCTAGCCAAATTAGCTAAACTTAGAAACTCAACATGTAAGTTTGATATGAAAGCTGTATATTAGTTCATGTAACTCACTCGGTTTTATTTATAATCAATGCATATGTTTCTAAAAATTCCCTAAAGCCTTTTTTTTTAAAATTATTTATCATTTTTATTGTTATTATTTTTCTTTTTACTCAAATTATCTCAATAATTTAGTATCATAGAGCAATGGTTCGATCTATCTTTCTCCAATGGCAAATGGAAGGACAATTTGCCATTGATTCTCATCAAATCTACTAATCTTTAAAGGAGAACATATTGTAGATAGTGCACGCAAAAGAAAATTATATCCTGGTTTTAAGATGTTTTTGAGATAGGGAATGATGTCATAATTGCATTGGAAGCCAATGTAACTAATGCATGGAAAACAATTCATCACGAGTTTAGCAAAAAGAATAGTGTTTTAGATTTGGTTTGCATTTGACTTAAACGTCATACGAGACCTAATCTAACTATGTTGTATGAGAAGTTCTGCAAGATTAGACCTACCATTGGCCCACCGTCAGACAGGATCCTTACCTGCTCGACTACTTGGAAGCTCCACTATGTGCCTTACGCGACCATGATAATGGACGAACATCACTTCTGCAGAGGATCTACCCACCACGCTCCCTTCAGGGGCATCCTTAGTACATACCATTCGAGGATGCTTGTTCATGATGCCCGCCTAGACGCGTCCTCCTCGTAGGGCACACAACCAACATTTCCTCGAATGTCCCAGAGTCCTCTTGACCGTAAAAAAGACTGTGTTCGTCACCTCCCTGATATTTCGGAACACTTCACTCAGGATGGAGACCACGTACGGGTCTCCACTACACACATAGGTCCTGACAGTCTCCATTTTAGGCATGTCCAGTCGGCCCAACATGGAGACCTTGGCACAATGCTAGGGGCTATAAATACCCTCTTACACTAGAGGGTCAAGTATTCATTCATTCTCTCACACTCTGCTTGCATTCAACTCTAAACTTTACTTTGGCATCAGAGTGTCTTGCAGGTACCCCTTCTATTCACTTCAACAGTCGTACGAGTCAATTGTTGTGGGCCACTGAAGATCATTCTAGTCAAGTACGATCAATGGCGTCGTCTGTGGGAAACCCTTGCTTTCCCGTCTTTCTCTAACATTAAGACAAAAGCAAACTCTTCAACTTGCTGATCGTCATGACCAGTTAGCACGACAACAAAGACAACTTCAACGAAACCACCTTCGTCGACGACGAAGTCCACAACAACAAACAACAGGTCACGACCAGGGTGACCCCCGGGATGGACGAACCGCCTCTTCCTCGTCCAAGGAACATATCCTCGACACACACCAGTAGGTTGACCAACCTGGAGAATATCAGGAGATTCCAGTGCCTCCCAATGCTAACCCCATCATTATGGCCCTCTTCGCGACCATCAACCACACGAACCTCCTGATTTCCCAACATAATGAACGGATTGGAACGCTGGATCCTTTTCGTCCCATCCCCGACGGAGACTTTAAAATCATCTGCCTCGGTAAGGATTCGAATAGATGCGTGAAGATTAGAGTTGGATTTCTCAATCTGGTGAGGAAACAAATAAAGGCATGTCTGAGGGAGAACACTGATTTGTTCGCGTGGAGTGTTGCAGAAATTCCCGGACTCGACCCTGAGGTCTCCTACCACCAGCTCATTGTAGATCCTGCCGCTAGGGCTGTAGTTCAGTGTAGGCGTAAGCAGTCTCCCGAGAAAGCGGAGGCTGCTGAAAAAGACCTCCTAGAAGAAAATTTTATTTCCGAGGCCCGGTATTCAACCTGGCTATCCAACGTTGTACTTGTTAAGAAAAATAATGGAAACTAGCGTATGTGTGTTGACTATACTGATCTCAATCGGGCATGTTACAAAGATGCATATCCTGTACCTAATATTCATATGTCGGTCGACAACTCGGTCGGCTATAAACTCTTATTATTTATGGATGCATACTCAAGTTATAATCAAATCCCCATGGCAATGAGCGACAAACAATGCATAACTTTCATGACCGAGTCGAACAATTATTATTACAAAGTAATGCCCTTTGGCCTGAAAAACATGGGCGTAACATACCAACGGATGATGAACAAAGTCTTCTATAGTAGATTGGGGACATGCTCAAGGTATACATGGATGACATGATCATCAAGTCTCGAGCAGAAACCGACCACACAGCCCACCTAAAAAAGAGTCTTCGTCCGAGCAAGGCGATGCAAGATGAGATTCAACCTAGAGAAGTGCACCTTTGGGGTTAAGGAGGGAAAGTTCTTCGGCTTCTGCTTGACCAAACGAGGGATCAAAGCCAATCCCGACAAGTTAAAGGCCTTCTCCGAGCTCTCTACTCCAGACTCAAAAAAATCCATACAAATCTTGGACGATATGCTCACCTTGCTCTCTCGTTTTGTGGCGAAGTCCGCACAACATGCACTCCCATTTTTCAAACTCTTGCGCAAAGAGGCAACATTCGAATGAACCGAGGAGTGCGAGCAAGGCCTCCTCCACCTCAAATGAGCTCTTTAATAACCACCCATGCTCTCACAATCAGGGAGCATGGAGACTCTGTTCCTCTACCTGGTCATCTTAGACGAGGCTGTCAGCGCAGCCCTCATTTGTGAAACCCCAAACAGGCATAAACTGTAACACCCCACTTTCCCATAAAAGAAATTACATTAACATATATCAGAGTACATAAGAAGGATGTCATATACTTCAAATATTCATAAAGTTTAAAGTCACTTTATTACTTCTTTTATTCAAACATAATCAATTCGGCAGCAGAATAATAAAATTAGTTCAATTCCATGTCATTACAACTTCAACAACAAATAAAACTCCAAAAATGTGTGGTCCAACATAACTCAAATGGAAAATACGTAACAAATGAAATAAAGTAAAACACAACAAAGATTCCCAATTCCCGTGTTACGTATCAGAGCGACTCCTAGGACTCGATCAGGTAACACTCACTCCAAGCACCTACTAAGGTACATGATTATCTATACTCTCAGGGGAGCACAGACACAACAACACAAAAGAGGTGAGAATTTCATTCCATAAATATACAGTGAATATCACATGATAAGGAGTAGTAATCACATAATCCACATATCACACAACACTTCGCAACATAACACATCGTTCACATAATACAACATCAACTCAAAACAATGCAATATAATGAGACCGACATCAACTCAATGCATGTGGTACCATCAGGGCATAAGCCCTCATCACATATGCTAATTTGGGCAATAACAGGGCATAAGCCCTCATGACAATGCCATTACAGGCCAACAACAGGGCATGATCCCTCATCATTATGCAACATGCGACATCATATGCAACAACATACTATACAACCACAAGGCATAAGCCTTCAACATTCATCAATACAGACCATCATCATCGTCATTATACCACATAAATTCCACATAAAATCCCATGTTTTAAACTTAGTTTATTATTATTACTAGCCTTCTTATATCCACCCAAGCCTTACTAGTCATTATGAATCGAGAGAATATACTCCACACGCGAAAACAAGAAGAAATCGTGAAAATGAGAATTTTCACACTTTCACCTGCCCATACGCGTATTGCTGCCTACGATACACATATTGCCTTGCCGCCTGCCTTGCCTTACGAGAAATGCTGCTTGCATTACGAGTAATGCCTTCTGTCCTTCCTGCCTTACGCGTAATGCAACCTACAATATGCATAATGCCTTCTGTATTGCTCTGTCTTACGCATAACGCTTTTGTCATACGCGTAATGCTACCTGCATATGCATAACGCTGCCTGCCTTACATGTAACGATAGTCTGTGACCAAAAGAAATATGATTTCGCATCAGAATAATTTCCACTTGTTTTGAGCACTTTCCACCTCTAGAATTGGGTCCAAAACAACATTCTTTCACATATTAACTTAGAGATTTCATTCTACTTCGTTATTCTACAATCCTACACCAGTTTCTACATCAATTATTCCAATTTTCGTCACATCCCTAGATCTATAATTTTTTAGATTTGGGATTTTTATGAACAACACAACAACAGCAGAATTACAACAGCAACACATTAATAACATCATTGGGTTCACGAATTTCACATGACAATCATATAAAACAACAGAGTTCAGACCAAGAAGACATTCATCAATTCATTCATGAAAAACCTAAAGAGGGAAAGGAATCCTCACTACCCTCTCATGTTAATGTCACCAATTTAGAGAACCCATTCAACCCCTTACCTTAATTTGCAGCTTTAATGCTTCAAAAATGAAGAATTTCCTTTGCCCTAGTTCTCTCTTCTCTTCTCTTCTC